CAATATTAGTAGTTATTAGTAACTAAAAGAACTTAAATTAATTAAAAAAGAAAACCAGGGATTTCGGCTTAAGAGATGAATGAACCAATTGGTGGGCCAAACTTTGGTCACTCGTAGGCTGGATGTGGCCCTTGGACCACCAGTTGAATAGCCCTGCTCTAAAGCCTTGTGTATGTGTGTGTTTTTTCCCTCCACACAGATCCAATTCTCTATGACCATTTGCCAGACAGCGCTTGCTGCCATATGGCCATGTGGCTTCCCCATAGGATGGCTTTACTTCCAAATCAGTTACATGTTCTCCTTCATCGTCCTTTTCTCAAACTTCTACATTCAGGTAAGATTTTATTGTATTGCCCTCCGTTTTTCATAGAAACATTAAAAAATGTAGTCTTTGTGCTGTAAACTCCAGCACTTACTGATGCACCAAACTGGCTGAGCGTAAAACCAAACCAATGCCTTTTTTAGACGTGTTAAAGGAAACAGATTATTATTTTGGGCTGTTTTTTTTTTTTTGTTGGTCTGAGGTATAGACATCTAAACTTGTCCAACAGGAAATAAAAGTTTCCAGAACAAAAGAGAAACTAAATGACACAAAAGCATCCAGCTACTGTTAGTTTATTGAGAATGCTTTGAATTGTTTAGCTCTTTTGGTATTTGTCCAAATAGCACAAATTATTGGTTCGTTTTTATGAGCCACTAATTATGTGYCTTTAATGAAGTTCACGCCAGTTTTCTGTTGATTTTAAGAGTTAAAATTGAAATTTCCTTTAAYGACTGCTGTGGTGCATTTTAAAGAGGAAAGCTCTTTTTTATTCCAGACGTACAGAAAGCAGAGCGCTTCTCGAAGGAAGGAGCAGCAGCTCGGATCTTCCGCCTCGACAAACGGCCACGCCAACGGGACGCCGTCGATGGAGCGCGGCGCGGCCAAGAAGCTGAGGGTGGATTGATATTTGAGAAACATGCTCTCGCTGCTGGGAGGAGGGGTGTTTATATACTTGTATCTGGGATAGACCAGCACTTAATTCAGATAAAACAAGCCATAAGCCACATCCAGTATCTCCAGAGACTTTGTCATGTTGGGTTTTTTTTTCCACACATTACTGCTGATTGTTGAATTATTAAATTATTCTAAATACAAGACAAGAGTTTTGTAGTGTTGTCCACACTGTAATGTCCTCGTTGGCATTTAGTGCTGCTTTGCACAGCAACAATGTTGTTTGTTGGCAGAAACGTAATAAGAATTCAGTGAGAATTAAGAATAAACAGAAACTTTATGTAATTTTAAAAATGGATTTACTRTAGGGTCTTATTTAATCTCACTCCTGCCTGTGCGGTTAGATACTCTGTTTTATCCTCTGGTGTAAATAATTGGCAGGGTGTAGCAAAGTTTTTTTTTTTTTTTAAATAAGAAGTGTTTACAGAGCAGGATCCAGCTTGAATGTTTAGTCGGATTATGACCAAAGTATCATCGTTTAAGAATAAGAAGGTTGTATTTATTTTCAGGAGTGTTGAAGCCACAGTGTGAGAGGAGAGGGGCAGGGTTTTCTGAAATAAAAATCTCAGTTTTGGTATCAATTTTTTTTTCACACCATGTTGTATCTGTTTATTTATTCAGCCCGTCACGCTGTGAGCCACTATTCTGCTTTTAGTTGAATTCAATTAAATAAGAGGTCATATTTTCACCATGCAGTCATCGTTAGTGGCCCAAATGGAATAAAACTGCCACGAACTATGAAAAGGACCTCTTGTTTCACAAAAAGTTTTTTTTTTTACAAAAGTATTGTGGTTTTACCCAGGATTTAGGGTGATTTAAAACATTAGTCGATAATTTGGTAGGATTTTGGGTTGTATTTTCTTTTAATCTACTTTTATAACTTGTGTAGAAACCTGAGAACATCAGCATTTTAGTGTAAAAGTTTTAMCTAAAAGTAGTGCTTTCTTACAGTCGTCCCCTCCGATATGTTTATATTTATATTTTTTTAATCAAATTTCAAGTCTTTAACAATTTTATTTAATCAAATTATCAATTGTATTCATTTATAAGAAATAAAACAGGGTAAAAGTGTTGATTTTAGGTCAAATAAAAAGCTGAATTATGTGGCTTTTTAATATTAAAGCAAATGAAAATGATCAGAGTTAAAACTATCAAACTTAGCATATAAAGAGTTAAACAGAGAGAAAGCCATGCTGATTTTATCACTAATGATTAAATCATATTAGAAAAGTGCTAAAAAGCCCACTTTAAATTTTGCTAACATGGAGGCTGTTTCCAGCTTTTATTACGTGTGTAGCTTCGCTGCAGTTTTACCTTTTGCTAAAAAGTCATGAGTTCATTTTACTTCCTCTGACCTCCAAAGACAATGTTGGAGTGGAGAACAAATACAGAAAAAAATTAAATGTTTAAATTTCACTCAGAGCTGCAGACTCAGTGAAACGAGACACATTATCAAAACCTTTCAGTATTCAACTTCACTGCAATACAGATCCTGTTTCTTCATCTGCTGATAACACAACAGAAACCAAATATTTTCAGTATTTTGTTTTTGATGCTTTTAAACTTCACAGCAGGTTTAACACAAGTTCAGTCTGTGGATTAATCTGTGGTCGGTGATTTTTTCCCCACTGTTAATAAACTCCAAATGCAAGTCTTTGTTGCTAGAAACATACTTTTCATGAGATAATCTTACATTTTTGGCTAAATCTTCCAAATGATGAGTGTGATCTTGTGTGATATTGCCTCATTTTGCATTTTGTTATTCTTAGACGTACATCTGTTGATTACTTCCTGAGAGTTTCATTAACATCTCATGCAGTTTAAAGCTTAGAACTGAGAAAACATCTGCAGCTACAGCACAGAAGTCCAGTTGCTTCGTTTGTACGTTTTGAATTATTAACATTCTTCCAGTGGTTTATGAGTGCTTTTGCAGAGTTAAGTGGTGGAAAAGTGACGTAAAATACAAAAATAAGCTTCTCTTCTGTTTCTACTTCACTTCAGCTTCCTGTTGAGTCAAAAGCTCCAGTGTGTAGTTAATGTTGAGACACAAACACACTTTCACTTCCACTGCTCGGACTTCCTCAAACTTATGTCAACCGCAAGGGGAGTTAACACACTATAACTTGTGACAAACACACTTGTTCAGTTGTTTTCAGGGACTGTAGCCTCACAGAGTTCAAATATATAACGTTAAGGCTGGATTTGATGTCAGTTACTCGTGACAAAGTGCTTTCACAAAAAGGATTAGCTGTGATTTTCCTATTCTCGAATCTTCTAGTAAAATTCAAAACCGAACGTGTGAAAAGATATTAAATTGCATTTTTATGCCCGTGCCTCAAGTTATTCACAAATACTAATTTTTAATCAGAACCTCTGCGAAACTCTTTAAAAATCGGCTCAAGTTGAAGTCAAAAAGCAGCATTTTAGTCTGATCCAGATCAACTATTTTATGATTAATTCCTCACCGAAAATCCCGTCGCTTGGTTCCCAGAAAAAAAAAGTAATGCGTGGATTAAATCCATGTGTTCATTGTGAGACAAACACTGCAGAAGTCAGAAATCAGATCTGTAATGTTGGCTCTCTGACATTGTGTAAATGGACCCTTAGGATGCTTTTTTTGCAGGAGTCATCATCGCACAAAGCAACCTGTGAAGGACAACCTGCATGGCTACAGACTGTTACACTGRAACAGTTTGTGTGGATGTTGATTCAGTGTTCACACAGTGGTTTCCTGTTTTGTTTCTGGTATGACTTTTACAATCCAGGGACTTCTGCATACTTKCTGCATTTTACCCTGTGGGTGAACATCAACAACATTCAGCTCATCCAGTAGAACGAGWACTTTAAATATTTCTATGTACAGAAATGCACGTCTAATTACGAGTTTAGCTTTTCTTGTACTTTCACTTTCTTTAGCTTTTGGCTTCTATGTAGCCCTTTGCTATATTTGATTTTACATTCAGCAACTTTAGCTAACCTTGTAATGTTTTAAYCGTTAGCTAGCTTTTTGTTACATTTGAATCTTAGCTAACCTTTAGCAACGTTTAGCCACTTTCAGCTTTTTAGCTAGTGTTCTTTTGAAAGACGCGACTCAGTTTCAGCTTCAACAAATTTCAGCAAATTCAGCACAATATGTTCACGCTGCATTTTCAGACAAAAATTCTATTCAATTTTGATTTCGTTTTTTGTTTATTTGCAGAAGAAAGTGCACCATGAAACAAACAAACCAAAAAATAAACTCAAAAAAACATTGAGAACATTCATTGCTTGGAACAGGTGGGAAAGGTTGCTAATTAGTTTAGCTTTTAGCAAATCACTAATTTCTGATTATCAGAAAATAAGAAGCATCCTAACAGGCAAACCTGAAACATAACATGCTTGCGTTTAGGAAACATTAGGGTTTTAAACGCGACACCATAATCCTGCTACAGCACTAAATAATGGGGAGTATGCTTTTTTTTTTTAAATGGTGAATCAGCTTCTTCTGTGATCTTTGTGGGATCATGCACAGGTGTGTTTTTTTCTCCTTACAGAGGCTGCTCAGAGAAAGCAGTGTAACTCTTCACACGTGCAAAGAAGAAGGGTGTGTACATCTTGTCAAGGTCGAACGCTGTAATGACCGTYTCCCCAGTCAACCTGAAAACATTCATGATTATTAAAGCGGCAATATTATTATTTCCAATGATAACGACGCCCATTAAGTCTTACTTGTAAGTGATGTGGCAGGAGTGGTGGATCCACACAAGCTTGCTGAATCTCTGCTGCCCCCTGGTGGACAGATGCAGTCCCACATGGAAGCTGTGTTCAGCCTCTGGAGCCGGGCTCCGCCTGTAGAACCGATTCCTAGCAATCTCAGCTGCCTTCTGTCAACAAACAGTTGAGCATGAAACTCGCTGGTTTAAAGAAAAAAAGTAAAAAGTTTGAATGACTTGATTGTAACGCAACTGCTCAAACACCCAACGCACACCGTGTACATGTTTATTCCAAGGCAGGAAAATAAATACGATAAAATGACCTCGTTATTCCCTCACCTCCTCTTTTTTCTTGCAGACAACAGCAAAAACTTTGGTTTGATTGTCCGTCTCCTGCAACAGACGGAAATGACCGAGCAGAACAGAATCCATTCTGGGGAAAAAAAAAGTAATGAAATCAGCTGTTAAAGCAAATTTATTTTTAAACTTTTCTTCAGTCTGAGCTGGACGATCAGAGACGTACCTGGGGTTTCTGGTACGCAAGCGGGGAACAACAGACAGAGGGTCCTCGGGGGTGGTGAGCATGAGGACGTGGCCATCGGGGAAGAACCGGAGATACCTAAAAACAAAACAAAACAATGACATCATTTTGTAAGTATTTTAAAACATATTTAAAATACAAACAACTTGCCAAACACTTAAATGTCTGTATTCATTCAGAACACAATAAAATGCTTTTTAATGCAGAATACTGGAAAGTGTTTGATCAAGACTAAAGAGTTGACTGATAAGAACTATTAGAAGAGCGCTCCCTCTGTTGGTTACTTTTTWAATTAAATTAGTGAACTTGATCCAACAAATTATTAGTTTTTGAAATAGGGATTTCAAAGGTAATTATTTACCTGAAATATGCAACATGATGCCACGCCCTGTAAAACCCATCCAGTGACTCCTCCCCTTGGCGGATGTATGATGTCTTGCTGATATAAATGCCTGTAGAAACATAGCATAAAAAGGAAGTCTTAACCGGGTGTGCATTGTAGCAGTAATTTTGATCCTTGTTTAGTTCTTATTTACTGAACAATATTAGTTTTATAAGAAAGTCAAAGCTAGATTTTAATATTTTTTTTATTTGGCCAAAAAAATGAGAAAACAGAAAACACCCCCACTGCTCCAAAATTACCATCAAAACGAACACGTGGCCTCTGCAGGAACATCTCCCTCCAGGACTTGAAGGGTACAAGTTTGGTGCAGTTGCGCCCCCACACCCTCAAACAAGCAGAACGCCAAATCTCTGGGTCCCTGCGGAGCGTTAGAAGTTAGAAAACCAAAAAGGAGTCGAACGTTAAATCGTAAAAAACTAAACAGAGTTTTCATTTCGTCATCCGTGGAGCGACTGCCTCACCTTGCACAAATGTAAAAGCCCCGACACACCAACGAAAGCTGCTCCAGAGTGCGCATGTCCAAATCGCTCGACACAACCCAACGGAATATGTACATCAGGATTTCACGTGGCAAAGCTGCAGCCGGAGAACACAAACCACAAGTCAGACCTGGGGTAAACATGTTCACGTCTCAGCTCAAGTGACTGATTCGACCTGAAATGTGTGTTTGAGTCATTTCGAACTCAGGACTGCAGATCTTTGGGAAGGAACTCTCCAGGGTGAGCTGCTGCTCGAAGTAGGCGAGCAGATCCTCGATCTCACCATCAGCATCACTGTCTTCACTGCTGCAGAAAAATAAAGTTCTCCATTTGTAATCAGGACTATAAAACTTGACACAGAAAAACAAACAAACATGATCTTATTTAGKGCAGGATCATAAACCCAGAAACATCAGTAGTTTCTGTACAGAGAGCTTTATTACAAGAAGCGTTTCAGAGGTTTTAA